TAAAGAAGTACTTTCACCCCTATTAGAGCTCAGATGGTTGAAGAGGTGGAAAAGTACGCTATGGTAGACATTCTTGCAGGTTGTAAAAGCCACTTTTGACAACCGGCAGCACTTCTGCAACTGAGAAGAGGTTAAACAACCTCCACCTCAGTCTGCCTTGAAGTGACAGTGCACAGACCCCCTTTTATGCCGCCTGTATTTCCACATAGGAAACTGAAAGTTTGCCATAATCTTAGATGTTGCCCGTCGCATGTGAGTGCAGTGCATTCCTCGTACTCTATGTCACTGACCTAGAATAAGTCACTGAGAAGGCCAAGCTCAAGAATCTGTTAATCATTTGGGCAATCAGTGAACACTAGCACTTAGAGAGCTGATATTTATTTCATTTGGAATGGTTCCATGTTAAATCAGATATCTGAGTAACTAGCTCATAAAAGTTATTCAATACCAAAATAAGAAGTGTTATCTTCAGAAAGATGAGGGAAATGATATGCTGTCATTTACAGCGACATGAAGGAACACATTTTCAGTTTACTGAGTTTTGAAGTTTGGACCAGCCTCTTAAAACCTCCAACTGGTGGCTGAAATTTGGGGGCAATGGTGGACATCTTTCCACATTCAACAAAACCATATATATATATATATAATGTCTATAACGGTGAGCTTTTAAGAGCAATTCTAGACAGCAAGTGACACCAGTCAGTGAACTGCCAATGCTATCAAGAAAACATTGCAGCTGTGCAAAAGTTAAAGTGTAGTTCCACTTTTGCAGCCAAATTGGGATAACAGCTACTTTATATTTGTTACATGTTCCCATTAACATTATATAACTTCAGTCTCCAGGCACCCATCTAGGAGCAAGCAGGCTCTGAGGGTCAGGTGAGTATAACTACATTTTCCTCCCTCGACCAAAAGGAGCACTTCAGTCTTGCAGTACAAGAGTAACCCCACTGCAAGGGTTGATAATTATTTTGCCCGGAGTTCTTTAACAATCCTACCTAGCTTCCCCCTATGTAATTTAAGGGGGGGGGGGGGGGGCTAATGCTTATTCTAATGAACTGTGTCTGTACTATGCTGGCAGATTTTTATTATATGTTGTAAACTAGATTTCAACACTGTTTGTCCTAACAAAGGGTTAAAGTCTTCGAGGCATTGTATGTTAAGGAGAAGAGGCTCAATCTGACCCTCAGCCTAACATTGTAGTTTCGCTCTCAAACTGCTCAGAGTAGCTTGGAATCTGTACAAAGGCCTTCACCCAAGAGACGTCTAAAATGTAAAAAAGGGGACTATTCAAGAACTTTACAAGTCCGCAGAAATAAACCCCTGAAAAGTTGCAGTATACAGCAGCCATACCATTTTTTTTAAAAGTGCAACATTTTGTCATTGACTATGCCTAGGCTGAGATGATGTCATCAGTCTGCTGCAGGCAGTAGGAAGCATTTCCTCTTCTCTCCCCCTGTACTTAGAATGTACCATTGTAACTTAATAACATATTGAGTGGATGCAGCGTTGCATGATCTGTGTCAGACATCTGTGAACAAAGATGAAAAGTACAAAGGCACCAGGATTTATATGTCTGCATCATCTCTGAGCCACCATCTCATTCTAGTAAAACGATACTCAGCTGGGTCAATGTCTTAAAAAAACAAAAAAAACATTGCGCTAAAATTCTGTAGGGAAAAGCAGAGTCAGGGGAGTAATGTAACATGGCATACCACTTGCATGCATTTACCATTAAAATATACTGTATATATATTAGGGATGCACCGATACCACTTTTTTAAGGCCGAGTACCGATACATAAGGTACATTGGCTGTCGGGCTCCTGGGATTTGTGCATTCCTGTTTTAATGTATGATTTGTTTTATATAAATATATATTAGTGATGCACTGATACCATTTTTTCCAGACCAAGTACTGGTACCACTTTTTGTCCTCACAGACATCAATTACTGATACATTTTTGTTTACCGTCATGGGACAGTTTTTCTAAAACAATACAGACTAATGATTTCAGGACGGTGGTGGAGCACAAGGACCCAGTCACAGCTGCAACCCTGGTAGTTCTCATGAAAATGCCAAGTATCTGTGAATCCCTAGTATATACCTAAATCTAGGTCCACTTTAAGTAGCCCATAAGACATGTCATGAGCAACCCCATCAACTATCACAAAAACGCACAAATTGGTTTAGGCGCATAAAATGCACATAAAAATGTGCATCAAAACCGCTCGTAGAAACACCTAAAAACGCTGTCGCCTAGGTGTGAATCCAGCCTAAATGAGTTTCACAAAAGTAGAATTTAAGGACTCATTCATACCAGGTGCTTTTCGCTGTGTTGAACAGCATTGATTAATGCAGGCTCAATGCAAGGACACAGAGAATTGTTTTCTGTGTGCCATGTTCGCATCATTTAAGTGTGTAGGTGTGCACTGCATAGCAATGCAGTATACCAACATTTTCATGCAGCTAACTGCACAATGCATTTATATTTTATTAACATTTAATATACAAAAAAAAATGTTATGCATTGTGGACCATAATGCACTCCTACTGGTGTGCACAAGCCTTTATCAGCAATTATGTTAGACATGCTAACATTCTGGGGTGGCGGGGGTGGAGGGTGCAGGGGTGGCTGAATACGAGCAATTAATACAGGATTGTTTTTCCCAACCCCGATCTGAAAAAGAGAAAAACACTCTTGATTGACAGCTCTATTCTCACTGTCCCTGCACTTTCCAGACACATGCACGGTCACTGGAATGCAGGGGAAGAGGACGCGCTGTCACAGGAATCAGCACAGATACTAGAACTGGAATGGGTGCCTTGTTTTGTGTGCCAAGACAGTGAAACAGGAGCTGTCAATCAAGAGTCTATCTTCTTTGCAGATTGTGGTCAGGAATAAAGAAGAGTGAACTGTTAAAGTCTGTAACTCAGGCTCTACCCCACACAGACGCATGGGATAAAAAAAAAAAAGTATTGTACACTGTGGGAGTTCCGTGACTGAGCTGGGAAAATAATACAAGGTAAGAATTTCCCGGAACAGTGCGCTGCTCGCTCTTGGCACATCACACTATAACCTTTTATTGTTAAAACTTTATTGAAATGTCACTAGTGATATTTAATGAAGTTCTATGGGCACAATGCGGTGTGATTGCAGCCCACTGAGCTGAATACTGGTAGAAAAAGTCTCACTCAAGAGATAAATTGGTAAACAACAACTTCTGTGCTACGAAAATGGGTAAAATTGACTTTGCTTCAATAAATCTTTCATGCCATTCATGCTCTATGGTTTTAACTTACTTTTTATTCACAATAAATAAACTAAACCCCTCGAAGACTGCTTATCCACCCAACTAGTGCCTAATTCTACACTATACTAAAATGGCGGACTCCTCTGTTTGGGGGCAACAGATGGCTCATAGTTACCATCCTTTCCCAAGTAAGCCGAGCTGAAAGCACCATCTATATAAGTACTAAAGCATTACTCTAATTGGGTCAGCAAGATGCACGGCTACATATTCAGTAAACAGAAATTTCTATTCTCAGCGAGCCATAACCATATAGTAGATAGTAGTCATTTACCTTTATTACTCCATAAAACCTAGAAAAACACCATTAAAGTCCACACTGCTGTGAAATCAACGCTGAAATTACATTTTAGTGGCTAGTGTAGAGAACGGGTTGTTAACTAGCACAAACAAACTGCAAGCAACAGGGGAACTGTGCTTAGCAGTGGGAGCTTCAACACCACCGTTCCAAGTGTAAATGTGATGTCACTTAGAACAGCATTGTAAAGAGAGTGGCCCTACTTTCTACTCTCCAAAGACTCCAATTCAATGGAGCTTGGTGTGCAAACATAAAACTTGATAAACTTGTGTCACCCCTTGTATAAACAAATGGATAACACTCATTTATGTGATCATTTAAAGAGGACCTGTATTTAATTTTTTGCTGCCCTATATGGAACAATTTGCAATGTACCTTGAATAATGTAACTTTTTCTCCTGACTTACTCCTTAAAAAAGCAGTGCACTTCCTGTGCCTAGGTAGTCCTGTGCCTTGGGCTTTATAGGTGTATACTTGCAGTGCAAGATAATCTACGGCACTGTGCCTGTCAGTCTCGGGAGATTTTTCAAGATGCCGCTACTGTGCTGCTCACTGTTCTCCTTGCAGGAGAGAAGCAGGGCCTGCAGTGTAAGAATCTCCCTGCCTCGACTTCATTCTTTTTGCAGTTTTGTGCTTCCTCCACCTCTTCTGCTGCTTCTTGAATATTACCAACCAGTCATTAGTTGTGCAGCTCTGATATGAGGCAGCAAAAACACTAATTGTCTACCAAGATGGCTGTCTCCACAAAGAGACACCATGCAAAACAAAGCATTCTAAGTCAAAAATGGGGAAAGAATCTGCTCCAGAAAAAATTCTGTTTTCTTGATCTTACATCAAAAGACACATGGAGTTTATTTTGGAACCAATGGGCTGTCCAAAAGCAGTCCAACATATAGGGCGGGTACAACGAAAACAGAAGGCAACGTGAGAAAAAACACAACCAACCCCAACAGAAGGGGCTCACAAGTCAGAGGGCCGTCTGAAGAACTATTCTATCTGAAACCAATATCTGCAGAGGCCATAATGTCCACCTAGAGAGACTATATATTTTCCATGGGAACACTGTGTTTTGAGGCGTGCTTATAGTCCCTTGGTTATGTTAGAGGCTGTAGCCGAAGCCCCCTATACCTCCTAAATTTACAAGCACGTGTGAAAATATGGTAACATTATCTCAAATGCATCTCAAAAACCTTAGTTGCAAACATTCTCACTGAAAGCATGCTGCATATGACTTGGTCTGGAGTCTAAGAGCCTTTGTACACTAAATCTAAACTTTTAAGGTGTCACAGATGAGGTGCTGTCTGTACAGCTAGGATAAGACAGGACAGTTGATCATGACACACTTGGGGCATTCCTTATTTCAGAAACATGCAACAGGATGTATTTTCTACCTGCAGGAGCTGTGTGGCTGTGGCTCTTTGTTCTGGGTTCTTCACCAGACACTTCTTAACAAAATCCGTGAATTCATCTGACCCCAGCTCAGGTTTCCTGAAAGTAGGTGGTGGATTTGTGGGAATCATAAATATTGCCTGAAAAGAAAAAAAATACATTGAAATGCAAGTGTAAAAACACTTGAAACCAGAATTTTTAAATGTTAGTCTTCAGATTTTTACCCTTATCAAAACTGGTTATTTGGATGTAAAATTTGATTTAAAGCTGAAATCCAAGCAAACAGTAAAAGACACAGACGAAATAAATATATGCAACCTGTTTTACCTGCCAAGGATTTGTATTTCTGTCCATTTAGTCCTAAGATTCATACAGCTCTGCCACACAGAACAGCCAGGTGAATCACACCACATACAGTTAGGGAATACAATGTTTTTCCTATCTCTGCCCTAAAATGTTAGACCTGGTCAGTGTATGAATAGCAGAAGAGTGAATAGGTGATTTTCTTGCTCACTTTGCTCTCTCCTCTCCTTAGAAAAGCTGTATAAAAGGATTGCAAGATGCATAAATCCAATCAAATGTAGGTACGTACTCTAGTTGTAAATTGAAAAAAAATTATAATTAATTAAACACAACTGCATTAATGTAAGTCTTAAATCTGCCAGGGGTATAGCCAAAACAACTAATCTAAAATGATAGAAAAAAAGTTCCAAAGTGATTATGAATCCTCTGAAACTCCTTACCTGTCAGTCTATCTCCCACTCTGACTGCCTTTAGGCGATCCCTTAGGACTCATCTCTTCAGGGAAGCCTATCCCACCTCAACCTAACCACTCAACCATCACGTTCTCAAACAATTCATCCCCACAAAGCTACTTCCTCATGAATCACTTGCCCCTCCCTATTAGATTGTAAGCCCTCAGGGGCAGGGCTCTCCTTACCATTTTGTCTTGAATTGTGATTGTAATGTTTTCCTTATATTGTAAAGCGCCTCGCAAACTGTTGGCGCTATATAAATCCTGTATAATAATAATGAAGAACTCAATGGAAGTACAACACCAGCATATGGCTTGCATAATATGAACTAAATAGAAATGGGAATGATAGTGAACATATTTAGCCAGTGGAATTGCCAGCGTTCACAAATAACTGCAATATCAGCTAACTTTTGGTGACATTCTACAAATGCTGAATTGAAGAACCTTAAAAAGGGCACCATCCGCCATGAGCTACTCTTACACTAGGCGGTAAAAAATCTTGTATGCCGCTATGTCCATACAAAGCAAATAGCTATAAAGGAGGGTCAACTAATCAGAATGCCAATTCCCCGCTTCAGCAGAGATCACATGGCCAAAGGCCTAGGAGTTTGGTTAGCCGATCATCCATTGTAAAGGTAAGTATTTAGGAGCTACAATTACATTTTTATGAGTTCAAGGAAGCAAGGTGGCCACATCAGTGGGTGGGGGTGTTGTCGGACTTTTGCTCTACTTTCAAGTAAAGTAATAAACCATATGCTCTCTTTTATGATCTGTAAGATAGGCATTCCTACAAGAACAGTGGTCTACAGTTAGCAATTTAAACTTTTGCATAAAGAAAAATAATATTAACACAAGTGCATGTTGTTATGCCCTGGCAACAGAACACTGAAGAATAAACAAGTTATGACACGGTTCTATTGCTGTAATGACAGCCAATTATCTTGCAGTGAACTTAAGTACCCCAAGTTGTATCTTAATCTTTTGATGATCGTGAGTTAAATGTAACGGCAATTCAGTAGCTAATAAAAGCTAAAACTTTAACCTTCCTTAACAGCCGTTATCTCCAATCCTAAATCACATACTCTGTGTGCAGTGTTATGATGGGTAGTAAAGCGTTGATCACCCTGTGCCGTGCACGGCTCTTGTAACTGGAGGCTTTTTTCCCAATCAATATACGGCAGCACAGCAGCTTATCAGAAATTAATAGCAGCTCTAATGATTAGAGGCTGATAGACAGTTTAATGACAACTTGAAACTGCAAGTCATGTAACACAAAGAGCTGTTAAGATGTCTGCACAAGCTGCAACCTATACACTATTTGTAAGGCAAATGCCAGGGTGCTCACCCACAAAAATATCCATAGATATTAAAAGTAGGCATAGAGGCATTCACAGGTGTTGAAGTGGAGATAAGTCAAATCATCAGCATTTTATTGCCAATGATTCGACGGAGCTTAAGTTCATCTTTATCAAGTGTTTTGGACAGCCAACAGGACATTGTTTTCTGCAGATCAATACCCAGGCCGTTCAGCTGTTCAGAGAACTAATGCAACCACCATATCTATGAATTAGTAAGCTGCAAAATACTCAACTCCTGTTCTTCAGTTTAGATACAAATTCCTGTTTCCTCAGTCTACAGGTGCTTACTGTTTCCAGTGAAAATGAAGTCACCAGAACACCAAAATCCTTAATCAATATGTCAATATTGATGCATAGTCATATCACATAAATTGCACCGTTTCTGGGCCACACAGGGTTCCTGCATCAGAAAAAAACGTGCATCGCGTGTCAATAAAGACGTATTGATTAAGGACATTAGTGTGCTGGTGACTCATCTTCCAATTGATTTGGATGGCGCCATCCGTTTGTCACAGTACCACCTATTAAGTTTCGCAAGGCCTTTTGGTCAGGAGTGCGACGAGTCATTGACAACTCACTGTGTTCAGGTCTTCCATTATTCAGGCCAGAGAGTTCTAGGTTCCTAACCACTCCCATGGGGTGGAAAACATCTTAACTGCATGTGTTCAGCCTGCTAATTAAAAAATCTCAGGATCACTGAAAGCATTAGTTGCAAAGAGCGTTGGCAGAGAAAGGCTGACCAGGAGAGATAATCAAGAAGCACTGCAAAATCCCTACTAAACCTAGCTGCAAGAATCATAGACAATTGTATAAAACTTAATGGAGAACTAAACTTTTTGTAAAACTGTGCCTTACAACTCCCCCTTCAGTGTAAACCATAGAGCAAAAAGCTCACACTATCTGCCATGAACCCACAAAGCTTTTGATTAAAAAATGCATTTCATTGGAGCTGTTCAGATCTCACAGCTCAATGTCGTCTGTAGCTCGTCGCTCAAGCTTGTAGCTCGAAGAGGACCTATATTTCGGGTGATTTTGTGCGATTTGGCCCAATAGACTTTAATGGTGTAGCTCAATATTGAGCGACATTGTTGCCCTATGTCGCGCTACAGAAGTGTCACATTTGCACAGAAATATAAGAAGGAAGGAATGATGTCACATCAAGACTGCTTTTGATTGGTTACAGCCCAATGTAGCAGCTACAAAGTCCCTACGAAAAAGGTTGCACTTCGTGCTGAAGGTAAGTATTTAAATATGCATCTTCCATTACGAGGAAACTGAGTTTGAATGTCTCCTGGATGTCCTCATCACAAAGTTATTTTGCTAGTTGCCAGGGATTCCTTTTGCAAACTAATGATTCAAGTATTTTAATAGAAAGCAGTAAACTTTTTTTTACTCAAAATACAGTGAATCAGAGCAGTACTTTAGAGTTGCAGGAGATGCATATAAGCAAGGCAATAAACTATCATACAAACACCTTTTAACACAAACATTCTGCAACAGTAAATATGGCTCTTGATGAACTCAAGCCACATGACAACACAGTTTATCGTCTTATCTCATCTTCCTTCATAAAAAATAACTACTGCAAATATTTCTCTAGTCAGCAGTTTGTTTGGATAAAGAGAAGAAACAGAAGCTTAGACACAAGAAAGGATTACAGGATAAAGTCCCCACTAACAGCATTAAATGTTATCTTATCTTGGGCAGAGCTGGGTTAGAAGCCAAAAAATGTTGATAGAGACTGAAGATTATTTTTCTTTTCTTTCCACGTCACTTAGACTCTATTTCCACCTTTGTAAGTGATTAGCATTCATTATGGTAATGTAGAGGTGCGGTGATGGTGTATACGTGTGTGTTTTTTAATGAACTTTTTATTGGGTCTGAATCCTAGAAATTCAAAATTTTCTGCACAGGAAAGTCAGTCTGACAACTGGGGTCGAATTGTAAACCTGGCGGTAAACACCTGCCCCCTCCCTGTGATTCTTGGTAACACAACCACTAAACACTAGCTCTGTCTTTGCACACAATACACCGTCCGGGGGGGGGCTTCAAACTATAAATATTGTCACTTTTTAGGAGCTATGACCTTAAAGTGACACTAAACTCAGGATTGAAATCTTAAAAATGCATTCAAGTATTAACAACAATGCATCATATTTGTGTATCACTCAGCTCTAAAGCCTAAAATCATTTCTGATTTGGTTCTGACACTGTTCTTCCTTCTGAAGGCTGTCTACTTTTATTAGCTCACTCCCGTGATGGATTACAATCTCACGTTTAGTTTACTAATTTTTATTGAGATTGTAGTCCATCACAGGAGTGAGCTTGGAGTGGTGGCTACTTTACAACACACACAGGGACTATGGGGAACAAACGGAGCCCCCCTCCAGAAGGAAGGACAGTGTCAGCACCAATTCAGAGATGATTTGAAGATCTACAGCCGAGTGATACACAAAGAAGATACATTTTTGTTAATAGTTGAAGGGGTTCTAAACCCTCCAGTTTTTTTGCCTACATCTACTGCTATCAAGCAGTAGATATAGGCAAACAGTTTTTAAAAAAACGCTAAAATAGCGGTTTAAACTTACCTTCTTTTCTTTGCGCGAGCCGCCGCACCGCTGGAGGGACAGATGAAAACATCAGGAAAGAAGATCGGAATAAAAGACATAATTTAAGGTAAGTGCTAACATGAACTTGGGGGGAGGGGGGGATTTGACTTTAATGTCACTTTAAGGTACTTAAATGCATTGTTAAGATTTGACTCCTGAGTTCACTGTCTAGTTCAGAACGTCTGCCTGTACTTTTTTTTTTGCAACATCTAAACTAGTCTTCCCTATAATTTACAGGAAGCTTGTATACTGTTGTAATAGTAAGTAGAACAACTGTCTACTTATAAAAGTTTTATTGAACTTAAACCAGACTATATTGTCCAATTGTATGCACGGTTTAGCTTTCCATCCTTAGAAAATAAAACAGTTGTGTTATGTCAATATAGCGGTTACATTTTAGTTGCAAATCATAGCCA